GCCCTGCTAACACTCTTGGCGATGCTGCTCTCGGTCGTAGCAGATCATTGAACTACCACTATCGACAGGTGATGGTAGTAGCCACGAACACAAGTCCATCCTCGAGGACCACATCCTCCCCCCAGTTGTATCCTCTATCAGTATCCAATTAGAGTGTCTTGGCCAAGATCCCTACTAGCGGCCAACATCAACAACTTCAGTATACCGGGGACTCTATCTAGGCATAGCTTGCCGCGACTCGCCCTCGATCATTCTAGATATGCGAAGTAGGTCTTAAAAATTGTATGCAGATTTTTTATCGACTGAACTCAACATTTACCTCGTTAGTTCCACTTATGAGGATATTTCGCTTTCGTTGCATACGTCAGAGTCGTGATAGGATGAAGTATTTACTATTTAGTTCATTGTTCTGTAGTGGCGATAAGGTATTGTAGAACGGGCTGATGGATTCAATTGGTTATTGACTATTGCCTCCCGTCGAGTGAATCGACTTTAAAGCAAGGAGAATACGCCTCAGCCTCTCCCCAGTCTTGCAGCACTAAACAGCAAATGGTGTATCTCATGGTGCAACTCACTCGTGCTACCCCTACTTCTAATGATCACACTACCAATAAGTAACTCAACACTACACCAACTACTTGAACGATGTATGATGATGATTATGAATAATACGATAGAAAGCTACTAGGCTCAGGCTTGGTTTGACTCTAAAATAATATTGCATAAAACTCCGTCCAAATTGCCTAATGTCGAGCCAAGGCGCATAAACAATGATGATGTTAGAGCCACTACTACTACTCGATTAGGGTACGTAAAAGATCGATGAACAGCAGCAGCAGCAGCACCAGGAGGTGGAGGTGGTGGTCTTGGTAATCAATCATCGGGGAAAGTGGCTTCATTTTCGCTTTCAATATAGCTCTCATCAGATGGAGGGTGGCCGACTATCCTCCTACGCTTCCTTAATCTTGCCGATACTCGTGGCCTCTCCGCTACTGACTCCTCTACTTCATCATCTTCCTTCACCTCCTCCTCCTCCTCCTCCTCCTCCTCCTCCTCTTCGTCGTCCTCTTCTTCCTCTTCCTCCTCCTCTTCCTCCTCCTCTTCGTCTTCGTCGTCTTCCTCTTCCTCCATAGTCATCGTCGGAGTACTCACTTGCTTCAATTCATCATCATCATTATCAGGACATGATTGCATCGATTGTTTATCGTCTTTAGTGGAGACGACCATGCCAAGTCGTGCTGCATAGGTCGTGTGATAAGATATCTGAACATGAATATCGATACAGACATCCACTAGAGCTCGAGGATATAATCGAACCCACAACCTCCACAATGAGAATCTTGAACATTACCACTGTACCATCTCCTCCGGGAAGACTTACCAAATCTCTATCGGATATGGACCTCGGCTCACACGGCACCAGCATGAGTCTCTCTAAAGGTATCGATAAAGACTCTCCCCATGCCAGCTTCCTAAACCTCCTTTGAACCCTCCTACCAAACCCAACTCATCCTATGAGCCATTTCGCTTTAACCACATCGCTACTACCCCATCCGATGAGCACTGGTGTTATTAGTGACCACTCTTCGTTGTTTATGATGCCGTTCTTCCTTTGGCTGTTGTTTCTCACCTGCCATCCAACTGCTACCCCACCGCCTCCCATTCACTACTACGTTTGTTGAACTGAGTGACGACTGGACTGCTGCTGCTGCTGCTCTGCTGTTGTTGTTGTTGTTGTTGTTGTTGTTGTGGTGGCGTGTTTAAAATACCACTCTTGAAAGCTGCTCTCTTGGTCATAACCGCTCTCACAATAACAGCCATAGAAAGGTTTAATCGATTGCCGAGAGCTACAATGTCCTTCTCAGGAGGCATACCATCTGATCATCGAGTACTAGACTGGGGAGGATAATACTTAATCGTCGTACCGTTCAAATGCTTCACCACATACCCATTCAGCACGCTTTCTGCCTCGGGTGAGAGCCCACACGAGAGTACTGATAATGATGAGGCGTCGAATGTCCTTTGTTGTTGTTGTTGTTGTTGATGATGCTGCAGACCAGCAATGAATGATGGAGGCATTGGTTGGTAGAATGATGATGATGAGCCAACATCTGATATACTCATCATCATCACTGCCGATTCACTAACACTCTTGTACTACTCATCTGCTGTCCTCTCACATGAGGGGCCTGAGCTTTGGGCACGGTATGGTTGTTTATCGGAGGTGTTGTCGCCTTGGACGGTATTGCCCCTCTAAGGTCACTTCCACCATCCGCTTGATGTTGTCCCATTGACATGAGATGACCAATTACGACATCTGCTGGCAGCCCAGTAGCTTTACTCAATACCGAGCAATCCTGAGAGATGCGATGAGAGGGGGGAAGGTAGGCAGAGCTACCGACTACCTGTTCTGTTGGTACAGGGCACTCTTTATGAAACTGTAGCCATTTGCTGAGTACTAGATTGGCATGAGCAGACAAGGCCTGAGGGGCGGTAGTAACGATGAGTAGAGCCAAACAGGGCCCTACCTGATTATCAGCTGCTTGGCGGCTCACTTGTGGACTCCCTGACTGCCCAGTAAACATTCAAAAACAAAGCGATCAAGATCCAGGGAAAGATACGCGTCCGCCGTGACGCGTGCCGACGATTATGTCTTGCGTGAAAATGTCACATCGGAGAAAATCCCCCACAATCAGCGCAGAACGATTATACGTTATACCTTCCCAATCGAATAAATTGGCCATATTGGGACGTGTTCTTAGGTAGTAAACCGTCTGAATGTGGGCATCATCATCATCATTATCGACATGTATCGAACAGTACTCAATAACGCGACAATAACAGTAGTTTCAAACAGGAAAATTAACATCTTTAATGGAGAGCTAACCAACGCAGTACGAGGTTTATTCCCCATTCACTCACATGAGACTACTTGTCATAAACACATGTCAATATTTTCCCCACAGCTGTGCAGTCTACACCTCTTCTACTCACGGGAAGACTTCAAATCCAGCCAACTCGGCGCATATGATGGAGTTTAGAACGCTCTATTTGAAAATATTGAAGCCCCGATTTTACCGGCATTCATAGATTATATACAAGTTACTGCTGTATATGATTACGCTTAATTGGGTAGGGTATAATACGTTGATGATAATAAGGATACATACTAGATGTGGAAGGTTGTTATTATTCTTCCCACCAGCAGGCATGTCCGAGCTCTTCACTTTACATCCCCATCCGATCGTCGGCATCATGGACTGGTCTTTGGAAGGCCAATAAGGTAATATTCTCAACAATAGTCTTTACACTCGAGAGGGTACAACTGAATGTTACAGACTGCTAGTGGCAATCGATTCACATTGTATGATATTTGTAATA